TTTTTTAGATTTCCCTACACACGAGAGCCCAATTCCGGTTGTTTACGTTAGCATCCTCTGTAAGGGGTAATTACTGTACTACGTAGAGGACTTGAAGTGCACTCGCCTGATTTGGGTCCTTTTCTGAGCAGTCGCTTTGAGTGTGACAGGACAGTGATATTTGATTGACTATCGCTTTCACTTATCTAATAGGTTTGCACCGGAGGTCCCTTGTTTGCTCTGTATGGTTACTTCTGGAATACGTTAACCCATTTTACGATATAGCCTAATTTCTCTGAAATGTGCAAAATACCCGTAGCTATATTGTGCTATTTTTGAGAGTGAACGCCGGTGCCACTCCTTTTTACTCTCTTAGTCTTGAAACTGTTGATGAAAAAGTCGTTTTCACCCACAAAAATTCGCCAGTCTTTTTCGTGTTGTTTTCTAACTTAGCCATCTTTTTGCCCACATACTCTTTTACAAGGACAAGGCGGTTGTAGACATTCCAGCGGTAAATTTTTCACTCAATCTGTTGGTCGACTCGTCGTTTGGATTACTCTAAGACTGATCGTAGACGTATTTTAAGCTTTCTACCCTAATTGCTGCTTCTTGGAAGTAAATGACTTCTAGAGATAATTATGGCCTCGTTTTACTACATCAATAATGGCTTTCAGTGCTATGTGTGCAGTATACAGTCGACGCTCATTTGGCTACACTATACGAATAACACAATTACCATTATTCTTGGGGGCGAGATGGCCCAAGTTGTTAGAGCGCGAATTTACTGACCGGAAGGTCCGTGGTTCGAATCCGACCTCTGTCTCTCGACTACCCTGTCTAGGCTTGAACAACCTGGCAGTATCCCAGCCCTCATGCAACCTTCGTGTGGCATAGCAGCTAGGCACCGAAGGGGTGCTACAGCTGAACGATTTTTTCTTATTCTTGACTATTCGTTCAGCAATTACCTTCGTGACCCGCCTAACTCAGTTCAGTTTCGTTGCTGAAAAGGCGATTGACGGCCTTCATGTTGTTGATTGACATGTAATAAAACAAACACGACATGTGTGTGCCTAGGTTAGTCCTTACACGAAGCTCCTGAGTTCCACACATAGCTCCGGAGTTCACTCTGACTGCCTTTTGGAATAGGCTAATCGTGAGCTCTAAGTTATTCTGTGAAATTTGTTTAATGTGAGCAGCTAAATCATTCACGACCTCCTGGGACGTGTGTGCAGGCAGTAAAAAAACACAGAACTACACATGTTTTTCATTATCACTCTGATCCCAGTTAGTAAAATTGGATATTTTTCAGTTAACAAATGACAAATCACATTAGAAATAAATTATAGGAGTCATGAGACTCCTACTTTGCTCAACTGGCCAGAAAATGCAGTAAAAAATGTGTTCCATCGATATATAGGGCTGTCCATGGTGTCGTCTTATCAGGAGAGAAATGTGGACTGTACTTTCCGGCTTGCCTTACACCTGTACATTTAATGAGTGAATCAATGACGCTTCACTACTGATTCGGTTTCGAGGATATCTCCGTTTGCTCCCTTGTGCGGTCGCTCTGCGCCATCCTATTGTAAGAAATCCCAACGGCATGGCGCAGTTCATTTTGTGGACTACTTCGGCATTCTCAACTTCATCGTTATATAACCATGCAGCATTCCTTGTGCTTAACTTTCACTTCGGTGGCTGATTTGTGAGCACCAGTGAGCATTTGCATGCTCAACTTTTTCGATAATATTTCGTTCCACTGAAATTCCCTAATGTTCTTTCCGCACACCTGTGGAACGGCGCGTCCTTGTGCATGTGCACAAGGACGCGTCCGCTAGACTGTTCAGTGTGTCGAGTGACGCCGAATGTTGCCATGTGCATCGATCGCTCTATAGGCGCAACCCAGTCGGTTCTCCTCTACCCTAGTTGTACGACACTGCAACTGTACCAGGTGGGCTTGACTGCATCGTCCTCCATTCTGGAAATTCAGGCTTCCATTCTGGCTAAATCTGGTGCGCTTCCGAATTTTTCTGAACGAAAGACTGTCATTTGGCGTAGCTTCATTTTGTCTGTCCAGGGCAGGGCATACACGACAGTGCGGCTCATACTGCCGTTTTGGAACAGTTGTGGTTTCCACGTTACGACAACTTCCAGTGTTTGGCCGGAGGCGTCGGAAACGTTGTCTGGGCCTGGTGTGAACATCCGCCAGTGAGCCAGATGGCTTGAGGGAGAAGGGAAACTTCCACACTGGACGAACTCATTGCGCTTCATAGATATTGCTAGTTAGAACACCTAGTTTGCACGTCAGTACCCCTTCTGTCTCGCAATGGTCCTTTTGTTCAACCATGTGCTGAGTTGAAACGACCGAAAGGTGGACAGCTTGTGACCTAGTAACGGTGTGTGAAAGTACGGACCAGGCACTTCAGTCGGGTTGACAGCTGGGATGAACGCAAAACTGGTACATAGTATAAAGCTGATGAATAGGTCTGAATTTAATGGCATCTGGAGACTAAATGGTTTATTATCGGTCTAGAACTTGCCATTAGAATTTCGCAGTATGGATTGCATAGGTCTATATTTTGGTTTGTATGGAAAATTGGGAGTTAACTGAATGCATTGTCCATGGGTAGAAGCGACGCTGAGGTGCAGGATAGCCAAATAACCCTCGCTCAGCTTTCGAACAGATAGAAGCATAAACCCAACTCTAGCTTAATTCTCACTGCTCACGAAGCAGTGCAATGCGATCTTTTGATCGACAGACACCCACATGCCTATGGTATCGCAGCTTCAAATAGGAATTGACGCGGTTGAACGTAATAGTTGCTTTTGCAAAGTATCAGTTGTGTTCTCCTACTCCATGTGTTTGTCCTTTTCACAGAGGTGTTTACATCACAATCCATGACCGGCATCATGTGATGTCCATACTCAACAACTGGCCGGAACAAAGAGTCAATGTGAGTTCGACTGTTTACCCATATTATTGGTACTTTGACCAACAGGTCGATATCACTCCCACAGGGACACTTTTTCACCTAAAGAGGCTATTAAAACAGGCGGAAATTAGCTACCGGCCTTTGAAGAATGTGGTTTACAGGGTTACGACTTCCTTTAAGAGAACTTTTTCTCTGTGCTTTTTTCTAGTACCTCGGTATATTGACTAACTGGCAGTGTTCTTATCGGAGAATTCCTCCGATTCGTGCTGAAGTATATCTATTTCGATTGTGGGTAGTGATAAAGCCTCTCAGTGGACTGTGGCCAACTTTAGGCTGTTTGATGGTGCAAGTAGGTGAGACTAAAACACATACGACATTTACTTCTTACAAGGTCCTCGAACCGGTCTGTGGAAAACTTGCACTCCTCAAAAATGTTAGACGGGGCAAGAAGCACTATGTTTGCTGAGTCTTTGTAAACATCCAAAAAGAATGCTACTTTCTGCGGTGATCTTGCGTAATGTTTGTTAATTCTCAGGAAATAGTATGCACTTCTACTCCGGAAGAATGCAAATTATTGGAATTGTGCTTCTTCAAGAAAGCTGTTCACACTCTAGCTGGGACGGTCGTACCATTAGTCGGAGATCCATGACTTTTCACGTGTTGATTGTCCTGTAAGCTTTGGTAGCAGAGAGGCCGATTCTGTGACCTACGTGAAAGAAGTTTAGTGTGACTGCTTTCATATCTGGCACAACTATCCTGCATCAAGTTACTCTAATTTTGAATGGGAACTCAGGCTTGTAACTAATCACCAATCAGTTGTCCTTACAAACTTATGAATGCCAGATGGTACTTGTTTCCACACTGGGAATCAGCTGACTCCTCTTCCGCTACCATTTGAACTTATTTGGATCGCTCTTTTTGTGTATTTGCTGATGACGTTAACCGATATGATTGCTTCGGCCTGGATGTTTTCGGGTTCAATCCATGTGAATTTCTCCACATGACTGAAGGCCCAACTGAACCGCGCTTGCAAGCATTGCCGAAATTTTCAATGCTCACAGGCGAGCTCCATTTATATTCACTGATCACGCTACTTTGGACCTGTTCCAGAAGGTGTATTCGAAGGAAGATGATGCTAATAACAGTAGAAGAGGGTTTTAATGACGCAATCTTTTTTATGACCGTCCTTCAGCATATTGCCAGAACCTTACCAAATAAGTCGACTTTTAGTTCAGTTTATGTTGTCCTTTTGAAACCATCCATATAGGCGCGTGCAGTCCCTCTTCACATTATTACACAAGAAAAAATCGTTGCGCTTGCATAGAAGGAAGCTGTCCTACATACGGAGAGCTTAGACGAGCAATCAGAATGAATGTCAATCACCTCAAAAGGAATCATATCGATACGGATCTTCACAGCAGATGCAGTCCTAAATGTGGTGAACTCTGGTGTTGAGGCACTCATTCATCATTTTGCAGGTCTGTTAAACGCGCCCACTGAATTCAAACCACTGTCACGTGGTGCCGTGGTGTTAAAAATGTGGCATGGAAAGACGCGAAAAATGAAGTCGGACAAAGTTGTGATCCCCGTCATCTATCGCTTTTGCTGATCAGAAGTGTGTTAACATTCTCATTCTCTTCACTAATTGTCTCTCTATGTTAGAAATTCTTGGTTGTCAGCGAGTGCTTAAGGTAACACCGATTTCACAGAAAGTTTAGACCAGTTGTTCATCTGAGGCCGTTTGAAAAAGTGCCCCTGTAGCTTGAGGTGGCTCAGTGGTTAAGGCACGAACTTACTGATCGGAAGGTCCGTGGTTCGAACCCGACTCCGGTATTTCTACTGTTCCTGTCTAGGCTTGGGCAACCTGACAGTATCTCAGCCCTTACGCTTCGTTCAGGTTGCATGACAGCTTGACACCGAAAGGGTTTTACAGCTGAGTGATCATCACTTTGTTCTATTTTCCTGAAGCGACTTCTGTTGGGCTGACACCTGCAACAGTTGACAACATATCAGTCTCGCTATTGCACTCCTGGTTCCCTTGACATTAGGCAAGAAAGTTAATGCTGTTCGCCTACCTTTCAGTGACAGTAATGAATTTGTTTATAGCATCCATAGCTTTAATCGACGTAGAAAATGAACAGAGCTTGGCCAAGCTACTTGAGCCCCACTTCACAACTCTTTCACTGTTCACGTTTGTCGGTACTGTTTTCCTATTTTTTCTTGTGTAGGGCCGTTTCCATCTCTTATTTTCCCATCCAGTATAAATGCACAGGTTATAGCGATATCTGTGGCTAGTGGAACTCATCCATGATCACAAACCCCCATGAAATGAGTTTCCAGCCTCACGCGAACATCTTCTTACTCATGGTTTTCCGAAATGTCAAGACGTGTTCTGTTTCACATTCGCTCGACATTGCAATGAATTAATTGTTAGTCACCAACCCATCGACGTTTTCAGTATCCTTTTTCCCGAAAATCCTGTCGTGAAACATCTAGGTGTGTCCATATCTGTCTGTCTTTAGTAGGGTTTAGCGTTCAGCTTTTTATGCTAAAGAACGAAACGCTTTCTGTTTCCATCAGTCTAGGATTGCCAATATTCACCCTCCTTTCTCGGGACTCCTTGATCAATATAACTGGGTTAATATCAGGTTACCAAACATCCATCTTCAGCAGAATCCCGAGGAATGCCTTGATTAGGTTCATTTGGATGCTTGTCACAACTCCATACAGGGAATTTTCGCTGAGATTCTTCAATCCTACAATAGTCATGTCCATCACATGTACTCTTCCCGAATACAAGCTATTAACCGCTGCAAATTCCTCTTAGCGTAATTTTACGCCTCCCTCACTTGGCCTGCTTTTCCGTAGATCCCGCTACCCTAACATAGCATTGAGTTTCACTTGTGTGAAGTGTTCACCGATAGATATTGCAGATGATTTTCCCAACCATATCTACTCAGTTCATCAACGTGTGATATCGTTGTGAATCCATGTGCACAGTGCTCTACTTGACTTGACTGATGTTTAAAACAGAAACTTTGCACAGGGAACGGCCTGACTGGTCTCATTCGGAAGAGGACGATCTCTCTCAAGGGGGATACGCCCTCTGGTGACCGTACGAGCAATTTTGATAATAGTCAAGTGATACACTGAACTTGGTGTATTTATACTTTGTAACCCTGTAGTAAAACAAACGCCCCCTTCTACAGACCATTCCTATGCAGCACTCTCTTGCAAGAAGCCGTGGTGGGGTATGAGTTCCTCGAATGGTTAAGTCCTTTCAGGACAAAGTATCGAAGGGGACCACTGCACGTGGTCTAACTGGGGGGGGGACTTTGCTATGCTTTGTTGCCCTAGGAAATCCATCGAGAAGATCGATCAACAGTGACATCCTTCAAAGCCTCATCTCTCTAAAAGGACACAGTTGCACATCGACCTTGCGTTGAGAAAACACTTCAAAGGCCTGTTGGTTTCTGCGAGTTCGTCTCTTCCTGGGTGGTTATTGCTGAAGTGACCGTGTTTAAGAGTCAACTTCTCCTCTGAACGGTTCCTCTAGGAGGACAGATTATATCACGGTCATAAATTTAAACCCTGAAGATTACTGTAGCGCAGAACCTTATACTAGAATATCGCTCGATGATGCCACAGCCTACACAGCAACGACTACTTCTACCGCACCTTTAATGCTCCTGCGTCGACTCAACACAGCTTGGAAATGTAGCTGTCTCCCACTTAACGGATTCGCTCACAATAAGGTGAAATATATATGATCAACCAGTGCACAAGTTCGGACCCAAAAGAGTTTCTGGTGCGATATCAATTTACCTAGTGAACGGGCGGTTTCGTAACGGAGTTCCCCAAACCTTTGCAGCGGTGTTAGTTTTCGTGTAGTGAAGGTTGCTCACCCTGACTAGTGCATGATATTTTGTGCAGGTAAATCAAGCAAACTGGCTCTTTGGAATCAATCTCCACGTAACACCGCAAAGTAAAACAACCATTTGACACACCGGGTGGCCATGACTTAGATTTCAATCTCCACTTTGTATCCCTTCAGAGGTGCATTCTTCGTCGATCGCATTGTCTGGATTTAATTACTAGTGGGTCTTTATCTCTTTTTCTCTCATACTTTTGCCAAAACCGATGGAAAAAGTTCGGTTTTTAATTTATGATTGGACCAGGAGTGGACATTTTTTGCCACACTTCTTTACGCTAGCCACCACATTAACCACAGTTCTGCGGATTGAGGTGGTTCTCACGTTCATATGGTGTTATGAGTCTCTAACAGGTTGCGCAGTTAACTTGACCCCTGCGTCATGCAAAACCATATATATTTTTACAATTAGAACCTGTACCTCTCTCCTATGGCCAGGCAATCATTTTCACCACTTTTTATTTGACGGACACCAGTTCCGAAGCTGTTATCTGAGAAGCCATTTTCAGCAGGAAAATGTCTGTCGGAAGAATCCCATATTTTGCATGTGTCCATCGTAGAAGGTGAGGTGTATTTCGGATATGAGGGTTCCAATGTAGAAGGTTTTCCGAAGTGTGCAAACTTAAGGTTGCTGTGATATTTCCCAAGAGACTTGCATTGTTCAGTGTACTTATATGATATGCAGTACAGAGTCTGGACAAAAGCGCTTCTGCCCCTTTGGACGTCTTCGTTCCAAGCTGTGCAACCCATGCGAGTTCAACTGAATAACTACACACGTGTATTCAGCCTGCCTTCTTTACTTCAACGAAATCCTCGAAATCCTTAGTAAATTGACGGTCTTTAGAATGGTACTGGACTGCATGCAATGTGGATTCACTGATGAAATGCGTGGACCTATTGGTTGCGCAGTGGAGTGAATTCGTACACTTTATTTTCACAACTACAAGCACGTTCAAAGCCATTTCGTCCAACGAAATATTTCAAATCTTCAACTTCGACTTATTCAACCTGGTTTCCAAACGGAACATACCGTTTTGCTTACAGCTCTGCTGTGATTGACACGCCTTGTGATGTAAGCCGCTCTTGTACACATTGGCCAACTGCTCACAGTGCAATGCGGTTAGCTCACAAGCGACCAGATGACGCAGTATACACCCTGAGGTCTAATCAATTGCTACTACTCATTAAATGGGAACTCGCATCTAACCACGTTTATGTGCAGGTTTGGTGTGAGTCTGCCGCTGGAACAACGAAGTGCCCCTTGCTGCCAATATAAGCTATTCTGACTGCCCACCCATTCCCGGGATAAAAAGGGTCAGTCTCGTGTAGCACGCGAACTGTCTAACCTATCGGTGTCCAAGCTGATTGCAACATTTTTTTCGATTTCATCATGGAAAGCCGATATGTTACAGTGCGTTGGGGGAAGTTGTTCACATTTAAACACTCGATAATAATCGTTCATCTGTAACACCCTTTCGGTGCCTAACTGTCATGCCACCCGAATGAAGCACGAGGGCTGGGATACTGTCAGGTTGCCCAGGCTTAGACAGGAGAAGTTGAGTGGCAGAAGTCGGGTCCGAACCACGGACATTCCGGTCAGTAAATTCGCGCTGTAATCTCAGATCCATCCCGCCCCAACCCCCTGATTTCAACACTGAGCACTCGAGTTTGCCGTCGGACCATTCTCTTGTTTGGACGTTCCAAAACACACTTAGCCTGCACCTTAGTCAAAAATTCCAAATTGTTTCCTGTTCTTTCTCATACTACTTCGTCGCTCCACTTCTTCATTTAAGACAGTAAACCAGTATGGTGTAAAATGAATTACGTGCCACTTCGATAAATTTGACGATAATCTGGAACCACTGTCTCCCCTCTTACCTGAATACTAAATTCACGGCATTGCCATACCTAAGAAAAGGTACCAAAGCCCAAGAGGTGGCAGCTGTTGACACACACCAATCTCCGTCGACTCGACTCGATCTACAATTTGCCCATCAACACCACGTGTACCTCAACCCTTCGCATTCTACTCATGCTACTGTTACTGAAGTTGCCGTAGATTTGATCAGAGTTATCTTTTATGCTTAGTATTCTGCATCTCTTCTCTTTGGACAGACGATTGTGTTCACCGACGGCGAGCGCATTCTGGGTTTGGGCGATCTCGGCGCACATGGAATGGGTATTCCTATTGGCAAGTTATCCCTCTACACCGCTCTCGCCGGAGTTAACCCAAAGCACTGTTTACCAGTTCAGTTAGACGTTGGCACAAACAACCAGAAACTATTGGACGTATGTTTCCGTTGATTGATGAGCCCCAGATTTTGCCCTGTTTTCTTATATTGTCTACTTGTTCATCAAAGTTCACTGTCCGGGTGCAGCCGAAGCAGCAACCAAACTTTGGACAAAATATCGGAAGTATTCGTACCCATCGCTCATTGGACGCGTATGCGGGACCGCACAGCATTTGTTATGTCAGCATACTTATCAGTCAAACGAAATGCTCCCCGTGATAAACAATCTTCGTGTCTCTTTCTTGAAAGTTTGACACTTCAAGTTTCGGACAACTTCTTTTCCCAAATTCAGTTCGGTTGACGTGACTGAGACTCAGGGATAGGTGCATCTTTTGTTGCGCACTTTGAGTTATATTATCACAGGAAGTTAATCTAGCTACCCTAGGGTGCATCTGGTTTATATACTGAACAACAGATGAACCCTATATTCGTTATTTTGTGGAATCGCTTCGAATAAAACGAGCGTGTCAAATCGAACTCTGCTCTTGTTTGAGGCGCACGTAAAGTTTTGGACGTATGTGCTTTAGAACCCAGCGTTCTATTGAAACTCCTCGGGGAATTCAAAGTTAATCGGAAGAAACCCAATTTCACTAGTCATCTTAAAATACCAGCTATCCATGATCAGAAAACATCTCATGATTTCTGTCCTCGTACTATTTACTATCCACACTAATTGTATCACTGCTGTGCGAGAACTGTGTGCTTCCAAAGAGTGAAAATGTCCGAAAACATCGGCGCACGAATTGTGTTCTCCGTAATCAAGTTATTCATTCAGACTACCCGGCGTTCCTTTCCAGTAATCTCATTCGCATTTATTTATGCGTGATTTCAGTCAATCATAATCATCAGACAGATTCAGTCAAAGGTTTCCACAATGTGGTTAGACCCCCCTCCACTTTGAAATCCAACCACAATTTACTAGTAAGCTGAACACCATTCACTAGTTACGCTTTTTTTTGCATCGTTCATCAGGATCCCTTCTATACTGGTATTCGACATAGGCGCATTCAAGATGAACGTTATGATGAACTGGTTGATAACTTCATGCAAGCGGTAGTCCAAAAGTAAGTATTATTGACCTGCCTCTGGGCTTTCAGTTTGCCCTCCCTAGCGTTTCGCTAGGGGGGTTCTCTTAAAACACTATTTCCGTTTGAGTGTGTTCATGCATCGCTCTTTTCCGAACTGCTAATCGTTTGTTGCGAATCAATTCCAATCTTTCAGCTCGGTACTCCTGTCCCACCCAGTCTGAAAAATGCACTATAGCAGTCGGGTTGCCCAAGTCTAGACGGCAGTAGATAGGTATACACGAGTGCATTGAAAACCATGATCCTTTCAGACGGGAGCTCCCGCCCTAAGTCTTTATTATTCCGCGGCATTGTACAGATCAACATTAGGTTACTTAATCTAGCAATGGACTATTGTTTTGATTAACTGGACTGGACCCCTTTCATCTGTTGCAGTCGTCACTAGTGAGAAAGACTGCAACTGGACACCTTTCAACTGACGAATGTATGAATGAAAAACTATATTTACGGGTCGGAAACCTAGCTGACTGCATTTTATAACCACTTGACTAGCAGGTAACCCAATATGTTTTCTACTGTGAGCAGTTTGACCACTGACAACAACTCAACAATTGACTCGGGGATACAGTGCAATCATGCACAGCACCGTTGCTCCCAATGAGGACTCATTTTTATGCGGACGTTTAAACTACCATTTGGTAACCCAATGTACATGCTTGTCTTCGGTCTGCACCATTGGCATACCTACAAACTGCCTTTTTGTGTGACATCTGCCTTCTCTTCCAATAGGTATGGTTTGGATTGTTTGATTCAATTCGAAGACTTTGGCAACCACAACGCTTTCCGCCTGTTAGAGCGCTACAAAGATCAGTACTGTACATTCAACGATGATATCCAAGGTTGGTTGTAGTTTGACATGTGCTCGATTTATTCCCGCTATTCATGTATGTAGTTAACCGAGGTCAGGTGGTTGTTGATCTGTTTGCCGAACTTGACAATTTGTTTGCAAACGTTTCTTCACCACTGGTGGGGAAATCGTTACTGTGCGGTTGGTTTGGCGCTTTCTACGTAACTGCTTGCGTTTTATGTAGCTTATACAAAAATAGTTGGTATCCATTGATGTCATAGGCTGATTGAGGTCAGCTTTATCGTGATTTCATTGGCCCGTTCATGATTCGTGCCACGTGGGACCGGTCGGTTCACTAATCATTGCCATCCCCTGGTAGTTGACCTCACCGCAATACACTCGAAAGGGAAATAAGAGGGAAAAACGTCGGTAGAATCGGTCTGTGGTTGTGACCTTTCAACCACTGTATATCGGGCTTCGTAAACCAACCATTACGATTCATTTAGACATTAGCTAATCAACTCCACAATGTAGCGATCTAGAATTTGGACACAATCTTGGTTTCACAAATTGAAAGCTAGGATATACAGTCAATGAAATAGTCCGCCGAGCTGCAGTAATATTGTCTGGGTTTTCTTATGACGAACAGTTTGTTTATCAGGTGCTTTCAATTTTTGATAACGTTATACTAGAAACCAAGTGAAACCTTTCAAGGTGGTCACACATCAAACGGACGCCTTGGGAGTCCGTCAATCAGACGCCTAAAGCCTTCTTTGTGCCGGTAAAAGATACTGAAACAAAAATCCAGTCGCATCTTTGATTTCGTTAACCGGTTTTCTAGTCCGAATTTAATCTTCAGGTCGACGTCGGACGAGGAATGTACTTATTACAGTGGTGGCTAGTATTCATGCAGACGTGTCAGCATTTATCCGGAAGCTGCCTGCTGTCGCGTATGAAAGTACTAGATCGCAGGGTTCGTGCGTGACCTATGACTAATCAGAATTTACCTTGGTCACAAAGGAGGCCGGAGTTTTCCGTCCTTGAGATTATCATTTCAGCGATGATCTGTGTGATATATTATGTTTCCTGAGAACAATTCTCTATAGAACAGTGGTCCCTAGAACGAGGATCGCCTACAGAAATTGAACTGTTACGATCTATCGTTACGATGGAGTTGGATAATCGACTGATCCAATGATGACCATTTATATAGTTAAATTTCCTCGTCTCATCTCTTGTACATAGCCACATTCAACCTCATGGTTTTTCAAGTTTTTGCACCATGTGGCTGTGGCAACTGTTGAACCAAAACCATACGCCAGATGTATCGCTGAAAGCCATATTCGCCTAAAGTTGCCAAAGGTTTGGACACAACTATCAAGAGTGATGTCGCACGTCCAGATACAACTGTAATGGTGCAACGTACTTCTTTTAGATTAAATAAACGATAAGGCTGATTAGCTCGCAACTTGATGGAATCACAAAAACGGGCGGATTCAGTTGAATTTACAGAAGTTGTTTCCAAAATCTAATCTTACAAATGTATTGACGTGACACTACTCCACGACAGCGGAGCTCGAATGTTGCCGAGTTTTAAATTGCTTGTGCCGAAATATGTTGATTTTCGTTAATTTACTCAAACAACTGCCTTAATTAGGTAGGTAGCGTTTATTGAGGCCTAGAGCCAAGACTCACCAATCCAGTTCGTTCAAATGAGGTCACCACATTTGCACACTTGATCATCAGTCTCTTCTCTCCGCTTGCTTTCTGGTGGAATTCCATCGAACGATGGGTCGATAGGTTTAGCCAAAGTGTGGATAGGGGGTGGCCGACCATTTGGCGGCCACGAAAATGCTCGCGACATGGTAAAGATTGGTCTGGAGTACCAAGTTACCCGCGTATTCCGAGAAAATTAAGGATACGGGCCGCGCGAATAGCGTGTCCCAGCATTCAATTGTTCTTTTGTTTAGTGCGATTATGAAGATATTTTGACTCTGTTCGCAAGGCAGAATGTGTGAAGTACTTGAGATTTTGTGCCAAACAAGCATTCGGATCAAGCTGTAGAAGTTAAACTTGGTTTTGACACCAATACTCTTAAATTTTCGATGATACCATTCACAGGTTAAGTGGGTTCTTCTGATCACTTTCATAGGAACTGCGCTGTTGCTTGTCGCTGGCTTGCTAGCCGCTGAACGGATTACGAAGCGAAAGTTGACTGATAACATTTATCTCTTCGTTGGCGCTGGTGAGGTGAGTGAAGATTTCCACTTGTATCTTAAGATAATGCGTAAATCTGTGGGTCATTCAGTGTGCCATTTTTTAAAGCATTTTCCCTACCCGAATCGAATCGCAAGCATTAGGACAGCCACTCAAACATCCTTTCTGCAAGGCTCCCAATGTACCTTCGAACAAATTTTGCTTCATACTGATAGTTTTTCCCCGACAGACAGTTAGAAGATGTCCCAAATTGAGTGGGATATCAGAAGGCTGTCTGCGACACTTACCACCATATTGAGGTATAGGATAGCTGCACCGGGCATCCATCGCCCGAAAACTCCCGTAAAAAGCTTTGTTAATTTGCGTCTGATTGAAAGACGTTAATTGAACCTGGCGTAAACAAGCCGACCGTAGACATGCCTGGTGAAGTCAAAGATAATTCCATCCATTTTTTCACAACAGTAATAGTAACCCGTGTATGATACCATTCACAGTAAAGGTGCCTCCGAGTTGTTTATTGATTAGTATGAATTAAGCGGTAACAAGCTATCTGATCCCCATCTGCACAGTTTTCGAAAAGTCTTCATCCTCAGACGTCCTTCTGAACTTTTCTGGACGTTGTTTGAATGCTAAACAATAATGAGCAAACACTGGAAAACGTTCCAATAATTCCAATATTAACCTTTCGTCAGTTGCAGGGGCTGCACTTTAACACTTGATCAGGCACTACTCGTATTTTTCATCAGTAGTATATACTGTTACACCCCCGACTCAAACAATGTGTGGTCGGATAGGTTTGTGGACCGCCACACGCTTCAACCTGAGTAGCCATAATCCTTATAAACACATGAACTTACAATATCATCCTGGCCCGTCCTAACCTGTGTGAGCTCACTCGCAGCGTTGCCAATCCAGTACATTTAGTTCACCAATCTTGGCATGCAACTGTGTGAAAGTCATTCTGATGCACTACACCACCTGCTTATAAGCGTGTGTATGGTAAGTTTTGTCTTTGATCGATAGGCTGATTCACAAGGATGATTCTGACATTATAATCACTTAAGTCTATCAAACCAGAAATAAACTTCAAAATAACTTTTGGAGGATGTGTTGGATGTCCGGTGCCCTTCGATGGGGCAAGGGAGGCAGTTGCTCAAGCTCCTAATACACTCCGTTCGAATAGCCGGATGTGCCGTCACCGGCGATAGAGTCAATCCCCAGACGGCATTTAATGTTTTAGGCCCTGAGAAATGTAGGACAACTTGAACGTTGTGGTGGCCTTGACTGCCCTTCGTGTAATCGAGGATATCTGGTGACGGGGCACGCCCTTTCTCTCATGCCCCATTCAAAAACGGTTTCATTCTGTTTTACTGTTTTTTCTCACACCGCCAACTCGTTCATATACTTTCTCCATAACATGTTTTGAGATGCCGTGTTTTACTAAATGCTTTCAAATCCCTCCCTGGTAACGCGAATGGCAAATCTTTAAAACATCGTCCCAACTGTTTTCTGAAATTCACCATATAATTACTCATTTTATTGAACTGGTTTGAGGCGAATACCCATACATCTCTCTAGCTCCGTGATCCGGTCCGATTATGATCACAATGAAGGCTTTACTGTAGCCGTTAAGTATTTTTTTTCCAATTTTCGTTTCCTTGGCGTTCATGAGCGTCATAACAGTGTTTTAATGGAATTTTCCGGATGCGAAACTGAAAAGGTTAACCAACCGAAATGATAAGTGCGAGATTGGGTAACAGTTCGCCTATTAAGCTTACGTTAGCATAGCACCACATTTAGTTGAAGAATACCATAGACGGGAAATTCGTCTGAGTTTGCTTCACTCTCCCTTTAAAACAAAATCAGTTTGCAAATGAGCGTACTTCGCGAATCGCGTCCAATTTGAATTCAGTTAGAGCACAAGGTTAACGGCAACTCGGACATTGTGCCTTTGTGATGAGCTCTATGTAGGACCGAACCGGTCGTGAACTGTCGAACAGTTTTCGGTCTCTCTACGGGTAGTGTTCGGTCTAGACAAAATAGACCCCGTTTCTTATAGCATTTGAAACAATGTCATATTTGAGAGACAATTTAACCAAGTCTCACATCAGGAATTAGAATTATGAAGTAAACATTCGAAATAGTTGCCCTTTTATCCCTTTTTCCTAAATTAAGATTGAGTTTCACATTTTTTCTCTTGCGTTTGGATCTGGAATTTCATAAAACGTAGCACATGATGAGTTGGTTAAAAATGCTGTTTTGAAGCTCACACATCGTAAAACTAACCGGTGCATTGTCAACAAACGCTTATAATGGAGGACAGTCACTCAGATGAGTGAACCAGCTGTTTAGAGCTGCGCAGCTGCAGCACAAATCATTTGCCTATGAAAAAATGGAGTCTGTAGGCAATTAAAATTTATCATACGTAAAAGATCTAATTACGGGGGCCTAAACTGGCATCTCGGTATCCATGCCGGGATTTCTGGCACACTTCTGTGAAAGAAGGTTGTGGACCTAGGGCGTGAATCGGGGCAGATCAATTTTACTACCAGCGGTAGTTGGCTGAATTCTTTATGCTGTGCTGCCGATGCTTTCGCAGCGGGCTCGCTGAGAATTACCGGAAGAAACTACCGCAATTTGTCCATCTAAATGTCTTCCCCCGAATAGTGTGAACCATAATAAATCAGTCTTTCAACGTCACCAAGTAGGAGTTCTGGCTCAAAGCCATCTAACTGCGTCCTTCTGCTCTAGTGCAGCTGACATAAATCCACTTACCTTGCTCGCCAGGATAGGTCACTACTACTGAAATGTTACTTAAAATCATCCAGATCAACGCCCCAAACATATTCAATGCATGTTTGAATGGACTTGTTACTGACCGTAGTACAATTACAACAATGGCACTTTAGAGGTTTTCAAGTGTAATCCTTCATGTGTATTACTTGAAAAGAAAAATCCAATTCGTTTGGATTCTTGCAATGAATTCCCTGAGTTCCACTGAATATTTGAACGAGTATCACAGAGAAGGAACACTCCGTGCCTAGGCGTGTTTTCGTTCTCCCTTACTATTATCTTCACCATAAAGGAACTATTCACAGAACCGTGTGAACGATGTATCTACTTCCCCAAACTGTGTGGAATCTGAAACTTAATCTGGCTTTCTCTCGGTGGATTTTTTGTGAATTTGTCCATTTATGTGACCCTGAATAGCATCAAACTGCACGGCCACAGACTTTATCAGTCTGATTATTTGTTATTTGGCTTCTGCGTAACCTGTTTTTGTCTGATCATAACATTATAACATCTTTCAGCGTACCGTTACTACTTTGTTCTCTGATTATCCTGACATGTTCTCGCCCAATCGTCTTGCCTCATTTCAGGCAGCCACCGGAATGGCGCAACTACTCGCGAAGGCCCTGCAAGTGGAAGGTCTTAGTAAGAAAGAAGCTTGCAAACTTATCTACATGGCTGACAAGGATGGCTTGCTTGTTCATGTGAGCGGTCTTTACTGAATGCTCTATATATGCACCTGTTTGTTTTGATCACTTTATAAGCAACTTTTTCGCTGTTCTTTTCAGTAGCATTCACTTTAGTAAACGATTGTAAGATCAACTATTGCCAAATGTTTAGGCAGATTTCGATTCGGATTGTCGCAGCCGTGGGAACCACAGCACATACGGCGAATAAGGTCGGGTAGCTAGAAAACGGGCCGCTTTAAGAAAAACAAGGAACCGGCTGTCCAGCAATTTCATGGTCACCCTACGCTTCATAGTAGATCTAAGTTGGGAAAATTGTGGGAGTCGAAAAATGCAGCACAAATCCAGTAAAGCGTCCAGTTGTCTGCTTCTGCCCGATGTTGCGAGATCGGACGTAGAGTGAATATCCGGTCCATAACACTTGTATCGTGAAGGTTGGTTTATGTTGGAAAATCACTCAGGGAGTGCATTTGCAAATATCTTAGCGCCAGTATCGACGAGATCGAGTTCCCAATGATTTTCACCTGCACTTACTCCCTAAATCTAGACGGCTTTTCTTTTGTTAACTAAGACATACCAAATAGATTCCAGTGGTGTTTTTAGTCGAACTATCACTTGTGAGGAGATGCACTCCTCAGTTGCTGTTTAATATCTCCATTTTCATACCGCAACATTTAAAATAACCTACGTCATCTGTTCTTCGGATGTCAGAAAAGTTCACTCAGTTTCCTGTTATTATATCAGGGTTTTGTCGCACTGTTTCCCCCGTGTCTCTAATGCTTTCCGCACATTCGCGTTTGCAGAAACCCATAGTTGGGGGTGAAGTAGCTTACCCAAGGTACACTCTTGTTGCTGTTTACGCCATGCGTTAGTTGGTGATCTCTATCGCCCAGCGGCCAGGTTTCCTTTTGTAGCCGGTAGAAAGGCTATTTCATCGGAAACCCGAATGTAATACCCTTTCCCACAAATTTATTAATATAGAGGCTCTTCTGGGATTCAGGACGACTCCACGAGGTCTCGATAGTCCCGGAGCGCAAACTTTCTGTAATTTTTTAAAACATAAGTCGGCTAGTGTCTCATTGTATATTATTGGTGAAGAGTTCAGTCCTTCCAAACTCCGTCAAATGTATTCGTGATCCGCTTGTCACGCGAATGCGTGGTCCTAGGGTGCAAAGCGTTCGAAAAGTACACTAAAGCAACCAATGCAGGGAGGCTGTGCCTAACCCTCTAACTGGATCATTACCCCGCAAACTTGAAGTCGATTAAATGCTGCTCTGCTGGTCTGGTGCTCTATGGGCGAAAGCAGAAGTCGTTTCGGTTCTGACAGCTGAGGGCTGCTTGAAACGATCTCGTGAGCCTCGGTTTGGAAACTTCTTGTTTACCGATCTTTTACGTCTAGTTCTCACATGTCCCCAGGCTTACCTTTTTTCCAAACCCCCAATTTGTGCATTTCTCGCTTAACTTAGTCAGCAATTCTCCCTACAACCTAACGTCACTTCCTGGTGTACGCTGCGTAAAACATACTTCATCTTCCACTAGCTCTGTTTTCCAATTAAGGTCATTTTAAACATAATTGCTTCTAGCTAGCGTTTTCTGTTCGTCGTCCCATCCTGCAAAACCTTTGTAGAACACACCACGGAGATAGTTTTCAACACAATCCTCCTTCTGTTGGTCTCATTGCTCCAGCTCATTCCCTTCCCATTGTTCTAGGATCGACCAGAAGGCAACCTGACCGATCACAACAAGTTGTTTGCCAGAAACGATACTGAGCCAATACGAGACTTGGCAGAAATCGTGGCTACTTGTAAGCCAACGACCATTATCGGTGAGTTG